TATGAATAGATAGAAAAACCTGTTGAAAACGTTCACCGTGATAAGAAAAGCCAAGTAGTTCAAATCAACATGTACTAATGCATTCATTTTCCAGATGATCGCACATATTAAGTAATTCCAAAACTAAAAATTTTATCATCTGAACATGGCTTTCGTTTTGGTTACGTTCAATCTGGGGTACATAAACATCTCGGTACAATTATTCTTGGATCTTTCACTCAAGATCTTGGGAACAGAAATTTGAAGATCTTGAGTGAATCAATGAACTACCAACTATAGTCCAATTACCAGCAGGCAGCACACTTTTCGCAGCACATAGGTCGATACTTTAATTTCGTATTTTTATTTAAACATATTTAAAAATATTTATAATATTTAACAAACCAAACGTTTTGACCTCTTTTATATTTCGTGAATATAAAAAAGATCATAAAATGCCTTTTTTAGACGTACTTATTTATATAAATGAAAAAAGTGAGGAATAGATACGAGTTGATAGAAAAGAAACAGCAAGCAAACGATATTAGACTTTAACTGACCATCGTTATGCGATGAAACCTTATGAACATGGTCAATAGATAAAAAAAAGCAATAATGAAAAATATAATAAAAATGGCTTAATGAATTTAGAGGAAATTTTTTCGTAATGCAAAATATTGAACGGACTAACATTCAGTTAAGGTGAACAAATATTTAATTGATTTTTAATATTAGTCGTTTAACATTAGTCTACAGACCCGACTCAGACTCGAAAAGTGGTGACTCGCCCATCTCTGACAAGTACTTGTAATTTTACTTGACAAGCGCTTGAACAAGTGCTTGTCAAGTGAAAAATCAAGTACTTGCACGCTGGACAAGTACTTACAAGTAAATTTACTTCTATAAAAAACACAAGTACCGGCTTCATTACGCAAGCGGAATACTTGGACACACGAACGTTCTCTAGGGAAATACTTTCAAAAGGAGGCTGCATGCAAAGTTCAAACTATTAACTATCAATACAGCGCCTATGTTCGCTTTGTTTATCTGGAAGAGGAGGTGCCTGGTACTTATAGGCTGTAGTTTTGAGAAGCTATTTTTTGTTACTCTTGTGAACCTTTTTAGGAATAAGTCAAATGGGGATCGAGTCGAGGGAAGACAAAGGTATTGAAATTTGTTCCTGAGCGTATGACCAGACGCAGTTTTTCACACTGATTTCGAATATCACGTTTTGTTTACTTTAAAGTTCAAATTTGATAGCTTAGCATTTTATAATTTTCACGGTAGCCCTTTTCAATTCGAATTTTTGGAAATATTACGAAGGTCTCTAAAATGTATATATAGCACCTTTGTAGAAAATGTCTGGTATATGAGACGCATGATAGAAACTTTTAACCTAATGGGACCGACTGATCGAATCGTGTTTAAAAAACGAAGTGTTTTCAGTTTTATGGAATTTCCGAAGTGGAATTTTCATTTCACGAAGACAAGACAAGAGAGACTTCATTTTGTTTAGATTGTTGCCCTCTTTCGAATTCTTTTCATATCACATCACGATTTTTTACAGAGCGATACTTTAACTAACAAACCTTTTTTTTCCTCGTTTGCTTTCCTGCTCAGATGCCAGATGATATTCTTTTATTTCCAGTAATAAAGCATTATTGTCATCTTCGGTTATGATTGACGGTCGGCGGCTAAACATAAACATCGGTTTATATGGCATGCGTAACTTGATGAGTTACTGTGTCATCGTGTTTGTGTTAATAGTTAAGTTTGAATGAACTCGTGTAAAGCAACCTTGTTCTAATACTATCACACGGCTTTTCTTATCTGAAATTTTATCGTTTGTTAGCAGATCAGTTTCGAAATTATTTTCTGCTTTTGTATTATCTGTTAACATGAATCTAATGATGCTGATATTCTGAATTTGTTGAGTTCAGCCTTTATGCAATGTTTCAGGTCTTCAATTCCTTTTATGTCCTTTACATTAGCAATCATACACTTGTTGTGTACAGGTAGGACAATACCTTTTATTTTTAAAAAGAAAAAAAGGACAGCACCCATAATTTCTGAATTATCTACTGTATACTTGTGACAAATAATCAACATTCTAAGGTTCAGTCAATATGGAAGATTGAGGCGATCGCCTTCTAAAAAAGCAATGATAGCATACATTGTCCGCTGCTTCAACCATTTATATATTATGTAAAAGTCCTGGCTGGCTTTTTGAAGGGAAAAGATGACGCAAACCCACTGCATATACGTCAAATAGTAGATTGCGAAAACGAAGGTGCTGTAGAGTGTAGGCCTGTATATCTAAATGCAAATCTCCTTAAGCTTGTCGTTCAAGAGATCTTTGTAGAGCACATACTCAGGAAACCTATAACAGACAGCAGAGCATTTCAGAAGCAGTTGCTTGATCACTGACGTAAACACTTCTTGACACTAGACGTGTGAAAGAAATATTTTCTGTCGCTAAATTCGAAACATCAGACTGACCGTGTTCTATAAACTTTATACTACAAAATCCGTTTAGAGCTCCTACCTGTAAAAGCAGATATTGATTTCTGAAAGTATCGACTTTGAGCTTTTTAAGAACAGGCTCCTCGCACTCCTACTATTCAGTTTCATTTCGTACTTTTCTTTGCATTGGCCTTCCGTCTTTGTGTAATACGAATAGTGCTGTACTCACACATCAGTAACTTCTACCGCGGGTACGTTCTGTCTAACTGTAACAAAGACTCTTTACTGATTATTAAGCATAACTCACCCGTTGGTACATGCGATGTATGTGTTTGACAAATTTGTGGAAAAATACAAAGAAACCGAACGCGTAACAGCAAATATCAGCTTGAAAAATGTTTGGTGACTTTCTCTTCTCAATTTACTGCGAAAATGTGAACCACTCTTTTCACCTCTAATAACTGATATTAAGGGCCACCCCCCTAAGAAATTATCTTCGACACCGTACATCCGACCTTGACGGCATTTTATATGACGGAAAAAAATGAAAATATATATTTTGTATTAGATATACCTACATTACTGGCTTTTGCAATGGTCGATACTCCATACGAATATTATCATGTGCGTATCCAAATGAATTTGTATGGTTGAATAAGCATTCCTATGACGAATCAGTCAAAACTACCAATGTACAACTGTATGTAACATAAAAACATTTGTTTTGCCTCTTTTTCTCCCTCCTCTTATCGCAAAAAAATACAACTTCGTTGGTATACACATAGCGACAGCAAGCACACTAGCATCATTTATCTACAATTATCACCAATTATCCTTCTGCGAGAATGGCATGGGCTGAGGCGCAATATAGCGAATACACAGCGAACGAAATTGAAGCAAGAAACACTGATCCAGCATGGGTCGAAGTTCGAGATCAACATATATCGTACCAAGGGGCCAAAGAAGTTGCTGAAGCACTGAAAATAAATTCAACGTTAACAAGTCTTGATATTGGAAATAACAGTATATCGAAAGAAGGGGCCAAAGCAATTGCAGAGTCATTGAAGCTAAACACAACAATAAAAACTGTTAATATTGGAAATAACAATATGTCTGATGAAGGGGCTAAAGCAATTGCAGCAGCACTGGAAGTAAATTCAACGATAACAATTCTTAATATTGAAAGGAATAGTAGATCATCTATGTGGGATAGTATATCGTATGACGGGGCCAAAGCAATTGCAGGAGCACTGAAAGTAAATTCAACATTAACAACTCTTAATATTGAAGGGAACAATATAAGGAAAGAAGGGGCCACAGCAATTGCAGACGCACTGAAAGTAAATTCAACATTAACAACTCTTAATATTAGACGTAATAATATACCGGATGACGGGGTCAAAGCAATTGCAGAGTCATTGAAGGTAAACACAACATTAACAACTCTTAATATTGGAGATAACGGTATATCGGATGAAGGGGCCAACGCAATTGCAGCAGCACTGAAAGTAAATTCAACGATAACAAGTCTTGATATTGACAATAGCAGTACATCGGATGAAGGTACCAAAGCAATTGCAGAAGCATTGACAGTAAATTCAACGATAACAAGTCTTAATATTGGACGTAATCATATATCGGATGAAGGGGCCAAAGCAATTGCAGGAGCACTGAAAGTAAATTCAACGATAACAAGTCTTAATATTGGATGGAATGATATATCGGATGAAGGGGCCAAAGAAGTTGCAAAAGCATTGACAGTAAATTCAACGATAACAAGTCTTAATATTGAATGGAATGATATATCGGCTGAAGGGGCCAAAGAAGTTGCAAAAGCATTGACAGTAAATTCAACGATAACAAGTCTTAATATTGGAGATAACAGTATATCGAAAGAAGGGGCCAAAGAAGTGGCAAAAGCATTGACAGTAAATTCAACGATAACAAGTCTTAATATTGGATCGAATGATATATCGGATGAAGGGGCCAAAGCAATTGCGGCAGCACTGAAAGTAAATTCAACGATAACAAGTCTTGATATTGGAGGTAACGAGATATCGAAAGAAGGGGCCAACGCAATTGCAGAGTCATTGAAGGTAAACACAACAATAACAACTGTTAATATTGGATGGAATAATATATCGGATGAAGGGGCCAACGCAATTGCAGCAGCACTGAAAGTAAATTCAACGATAACAACTCTTAAGATTGAAACGAATAGTATATCGGATGACGGGGCCAAAGCAATTGCAGGAGCACTGAAAGTAAATTCAACAATAGCAAGTCTGTATATTAGCCGTAATAATATATCGGGTGAAGGGGCCAAAGCAATTGCAGAAGCGTTGACAGTAAATTCAACATTAACAACTCTTGATATTGAAAGAAACGGTATATCGGATGAAGGGACCATGGCAATTGCAGAAGCATTGAAAGTGAATTCAACAATAACAACTCTTAATATTGAAAGGAATAGTATATCATCTATAGGGATCAAAGCAGTTGAAAAAGCACTGAAGATTAATAAAACATTAGCAACACTTTATATTGAAGATAACAGTATATCGAATCAGTGGTCGAAATCAGTTGGAGAAGGATTGAAAATGAACAGAACATTAGCAAGTCTTGGTAATGGAAATAACAGTATATCGGAAGAAACGGCCAAAGCAGTTGAAGGACCAATGAAAATGAACTCAGGGTTAACAAGTGCTGACATTCGAGCAACTGTGTAGCCTGAGGATCGGGCTACCTTTCAATTGAGACTTGTAACACGATCATAGACATTTGAAATATTCATAGATGGATGAAAATGTGATTGAAATGTGGTAGATAATAAGTATAAATCAGCATCCAATAAATGACCGTTTAACAGAAATAAATTGGACTAATGATGCAATTCCTGGTTTTTTTCTTCAAACCGAGTAGAACAGATTCTATCATACGCTCTTGTAGTTAATCTTTTCTTTGAACAGTGTTCTGCCGTTGAATTCCCATTGTACGAGGCACAGTGGGCATTTTTTGCTAGAGCAAGCGGACTTTAGCTTTATGAGTGAACTAAAATTTCATGAACCATCTTTTTATAGGTTTTTCATGATCCTCTTTCTAATGGCATGAGAGTTGGGTTTTAAA